GGCATGTGGTGCTGGGGGATTGAACCGCCGTCCCTGTGCTTTGCTAAGCTTGTTCTAAGTAGGTGCTTTAGACCACTGAGCCATCTCACCAGCCCCGAGAGCTATGTTATTAGGTACATAAATATTCATGAATGCCATGTCTTATTGGGGGTTGAGGTTGGATTAACTTATCAGGTAATACATAGCCTGCCTAAGAACAGGGACAACCTGGAGACACAGAGGTGACAGAGTCTGCACACACAGAGAAGGCAGATTGGATTTGGCTGGAGGTGGGAACTTAGACAGGGAGGCTCCATTCTCTGGGGTGCTTGGGCAGGGGGCTAGGGGACAGTCAGGGACCAGCGGGGGCTTCCTGCTCACAACATGCCCCTGGAGAGGCTCAGGCTGTCTTATTTTTCTCATTGCTGAGACCAAATACCCCACATCCACAACTTAAGGCAGTAAAGGTTTATGTAGCTCACAGTTAGTTTGTAGAGGCCTCAGCCCAAGCCAGCTGGCTCCAAGGCAGGGTGGCTTGGCAGAGGGGCATCACAGAGGAGAAGAGCTTCAGGGCAAGCAGAAGCCAGCAGAACCAACAGGGGAGTACCACGGCTCTTCCTGGTCCTTTATCTTATCCAGGCTGCTTAGAGACGGATATCAGGAGCAGAGAGAAAAGTAAGACAGCCTGAGCCTCTCCAGGGGGCATGTTGTGAGCAGGAAGCCCCCGCTGGTCCCTGACTGTCCCCTAGCCCCCTGCCCAGGCACCCCAGAGAATGGAGCCTCCCTGTCTAAGTTCCCACCTCCAGCCAAATCCAATCTGCCTTCTCTGTGTGTGCAGACCCTGTCACCTCTGTCTCTCCAGATTGTCCCTGTTCTTAGGCAGGCTATGCATTACCTGATGAGTTAATCCAACCTCAACCCCCGCGAGCACTGTCCCACTGTCAACCCTGACGCCCTTGAGTCCTGCACTGCACCATGAACCAATGCCAGCATCACACGCTCTACAGCCAGCTGCCTCTGAGGAAGCCCCACCGTGCCTGCGTGAGGCTTTGGGGCTCAGCTAGACACAAGCCGGAGCAAACCCACAACTGGACATCACGAATGTCAGGGGAAAAGCACAGGAGTCCTGAACTCAGTGAAAACGGATACACAGGAGCAGAGGGAAGAGAAAGTTGACCAAGCCTTCAGACACAGAATTGTTAAGGTCCAAAAGACAAAGAGGCACTGCAGCCCCAAGGACACAGCCCGAAAGCTGGAGTGTTGTCAGCAGCGGGACCCTTGCTCAGCACGCAGGACCTGGGTTTGATTTCCCAGCTCAGGTTGAAAAAAAAAAAATCCAAACAAACCAGACATGGTGCAGCCCTATAATCCAGCACTAAGAGAGGCTGAGGTAGGAGGATGGTAGCTTGAGTCCCAGCTGGTCAATTTAACAAGACTGTATCTCAAAATTAGAAAGACTAGGATGTAGATCAGTGGTACAGTGCCCCTGGAGTTGATCCTCAATCACACACACACACACACACACACACACACACACACACACACTATTGCCTTCACTAACTCCTGTTTCACATGTATGCAGAAAGGACATTTCCCAGCATTCCTTGTAGTTGACCTGGTGTCATGTGACTGTTGCAGCCAATAGGATGCAGGCAGGAGTGCTCAGGCCTCCTCCTAGGCTGGTCCAAACACCTGGTGGGCAGAGGCACCTGCCCATGCCAGCTTTCTGGAGTTTAGGAAGGGACAGAAGCTACAGAGAGGGAGGATGCTCCTGTCCAGACAGCAAGAGTTCTGACTGACCAAGACATGGCAGTGGGGAAAGTAGACCTTGTCCTCTGGTGGGAATGACACCATCTTGGGCTCACCCTGAACCTTCAGCTTCAAGGCTACACCTATCCTGGTCACATCCGAGATGACTGTCAGCAATTCCTTCTGACTGAGGAAAAATTGGACTGTCAGCCCTAATGAATGAGTCACCATGGCCTCTCCCAGAGGCAGCCCTGCCTAGAAACAACCCAGTTGAGCGCTTCTCAACAACATTAAAGTGGGAGGCAAAAAACCCAACAATATGTCCAAAGCAGATGACAATCATTTCATCCATTTGATGGGCTCAGATTAAGCCAGACTCAGCTCCCTCCTTCATCGGGGCCACTGAGAGCCCATGATCCCGTCACCAGGGCCACTAGGACTCTTGCCTCTCACCCCTTCTGCCAGGCACAAGCTTGCAGCCTGGGAGGACATCACCTATGCAAGCCAGTGCCCATGCCGCTTCTTGGGGAGAATTCCAAGTTAGAAGCAGCCATCTCCTCTGCACCAAGCCAGACAGCCTTCTTCTCATTTAACCCTACGTATTCCACTTGGACTATTTCCTGAGAGGAAGACGATGCCTGTATCAGCCTGAGTCTTATATCTGCAGTCCTGAAATTCTGAATGTTCTCCTCCTAGAGGTAAGAGCCAAGACTCGCCTCTGGGCCTGGCTCAACCCGCCCCAGGGGCGGGGCTGGCGCAGCGTGTGGTGCTGGGGATCAAACCTTGGTCCCTGTGCTTGCCTAAGCTTGCCTAAGCAGGCGCGTTAGACCACTGGCCTTCTCGCTGGCCCCAGTTTGTGATGCTGATGGACTGTTACTTCCCTTGGAACACTCCTTTCCTCCCGGCAAAAATGCCTGATAGGGATTATCAACCAGTGTGAGATCTCATGCCGCCACCAATGCGGTCATCACCTCGTACACCGCGGTTTCTGACCCCCCATACACACTTTTTAGACTGCTACGTCCAGAGGCCACCTGGTCTATGTGTCTAGACTTCACATATGC